TTATACTATTTATATAAAAATCATCTATAATTGATTTGTTTCTCAAATGTTATTTTTTAGACTATCATCATCAAATACCGTTTTTGGATCTTCTAAAGATTTAATCGAAATCTCGTTACAACTCACATAAACAGTTTAAAAAGCTACTGATTGACGCGGAGGAATAGAAGCTCAGTCAAGAAGTAGTTGAAGGAGTAGACATTAATGGAAAGAATGTGCAGATCGATGTCATCAAAAAGATCACGATCATGGAGATGGCCATCGAATGGTTGAGTACAATATTGCAATTATGATGCTTCCCATAAAGTTGATGACACATGGATGACCCATGTAGGCATTACATGATGAACATTGAATGCTTATGCGACGTGGAAAGGAGTGAGTATGCAATGCATAGTAAACTCGGAAGAATGCTGAAATATAGAGGGTTTGGTCTAGAAAATGCAATCGATTTGGGCTCTCGGGTATCAAAAGGTCGAATTTTGAAGGTGATTTTCATAACATCTCTCCCAAACTTCAAACCATAATTTGGAGAACTTGTCGGTCCAACACTTCTTAACCGCGCTATAAACGATTGCGAAAAGAGATCTCAAAGAGTCCTACTTAAATTCCAACAATGAAAGGGAAATCGCTGCGCGGATAAGCTTGCTAAAGAGGCTCACAAACACTATGAGACATGTTCTATGTTAAATCATTTTTCTGTTTTTTGAAACTCTTTGGTAAAGGCTAATAGTGTAAACCTTTTAATATTTACGATTTGCTGCGTTTATAACAAATATTGATTTTTTTTTTTTGATAACAAAATTGATAATGCAGTGAAGTACGAGGGGTGTTCCGAGAATCGAACTCGGGACCTCTCACAATATTGATTTTTAATACTATATAACTCTGTTTTCATAATCGAAACAGAAAACAACTCAAAACAAAACACATACATCACGAGTATATTGCCATAACTGCTTAACGTACACTTTCAGTTATCTACAAACACAAACTGCAACGTTTTTTCAGACACATGAGAACAAAAATGTCTGTCACGTCACGTCACATTCACATCAACTCGTCGTCATTGACATTAAAAATTCAACGATTTGTTTCATATTTTCCCTATTTTTTCTACATTCTCGACTCAAAACAATTATAAAAATGTTCCAAGTCTAAGTCCAAGTCCAAGTCGTCTCCACCGTGAAAGTGAAACCTAACTTGGTCAAGTTTGGTAAGTCTCGTGAGAGTATATTTGTTCTGGTTTTAAACTTCAAAATGGGCACTGAGTTTTTTAGTGGTATCATAAAATTCAACAATCTCATGATGAAAATTTTGACTTTATTCAATTTTTGGTAATCAATACGACCACTTTCTCTTTAAAAGTTTAGGCCTTTGGGCAATAATTTTCATAGAGAAGAAAACAAAAGTTTACATTTGTGGAAACTTTAAGAAGAACATGTAAAGAAGTTTAGCTTTTCTTTTTCTATTTATAGACTGAATTTTTGCAGATGTTATTGGGATCAAAGCGTAAAACAAACACTAGAGACAGAGCTTCCTAACAGAGAAAGATGGAAAATTCGAAACCATCCCCTGTATTTTCATTTCTTTCCATTTTGGCCTTATATTTTTCATTCTTCACCATAACACCAACTTCTTCAGCTTCCTTACAAGATCAATTCATCAGCTGTCTCCAAAGAAACACAAATGTTTATTTCCCACTCGAAAATACGTTTTTCGCACCTGCGAAAAACGTCTCTATGTTTAGCCAAGTCCTTGAATCGACGGCTCAGAATCTCCGGTTCTTGACAAAAACCATGCCTAAACCAGGATTCATATTCAAACCGATTCACGAGTCTCATGTCCAAGCTTCCATAATCTGTTCCAAGAAACTTGGGATTCATTTCCGTATCAGAAGCGGCGGTCACGACTACGAAGGTCTGTCTTATGTCTCGGAGATGGAAAAACCATTTATATTGATGGATCTATCGAAGCTGAGACAGATCAACATTAATATTAAAGACAACACTGCTTGGGTTCAAGCTGGTGCAACGGTTGGTGAACTTTACTACAGGTATATACATAAATCCAACAATAAGCAAACAAACAATAATTTACTATTGTATATTTGATCAAGAAACTATTTTCTTACTTGTAGAATTGCTGAGAAGAGTAAAGTCCATGGATTCCCGGCGGGTTTGTGCTCGAGCTTAGGGATTGGAGGGCACATAACAGGTGGTGCATATGGTTCCATGATGAGGAAATACGGTCTTGGTGCAGATAACGTTCTAGACGCAAAGATCGTTGATGCTAACGGTCGATTACTCGATAGAGCCGCGATGGGCGAGGATACGTTTTGGGCGATCAGAGGAGGCGGCGGAGGGAGTTTTGGGGTAATCCTAGCATGGAAGATGAAACTTGTTCCTGTTCCTAGGACCGTGACCGTCTTCACCGTCACGAAAACGTTAGAACAAGACGTAGGAAACAAGATTCTTTCGAAGTGGCAAGTAGTTGCGGACAAGCTTGTCGAAGAGTTATTCATCCGAGTGATCTTCAACGTAGCTGGAATCAACAGGAACAAGACAGTGACGACGTCGTACAATGCTCTGTTTCTTGGAAACAAAGGCACATTGATGAAAGTAATGAAGAAGAGTTTTCCGGAGCTAGGCCTAACACCGAAAGATTGTACCGAAATGAGCTGGCTCGAATCCATTGTTTACATTTCCGGATTCCCGAGCCGCACTCCTACTAGTGTTTTGCTTCAAGGGAAGTCTCCTTTCCCCAAGAATAATTTCAAAGCCAAATCGGATTTCGTGAAAACCCCGGTTCCCGAATCAGGGCTTAAAGGGATGTTCAAGAAGTTGCTTAAAGAAGATATTCCAATGATGATATGGAATCCATACGGAGGAATGATGGCGAAAATCCCTGAATCCCAAATACCTTTTCCGCATAGAAAAGGAGTCATTTTCAAGATTCAGTACGTAACGAGTTGGCCAGACAGCGACAAGAGACCGAGCAAGCACATCAACTGGATCAGAGATCTGTACAATTACATGACGCCTTATGTCTCGACGCATCCACGACAATCCTACGTGAACTACCGCGATCTAGACCTTGGAAAGAACAAGAAAAACATGAAATCGAGCATGAAACTCAAACAAGCTCAAGTTTGGGGAGCTAAGTACTTCAAAGACAATTTCAACAGATTGGTGAGGATTAAATCAAAGGTTGATCCATATAACTTCTTCAGACATGAACAGAGCATCCCAACTCTACCTGTTCGAAGCTAAGCTCAAGATAAGGACAACTATATCAATCAGATAACGAATAAACTAGAAGAAATCAAATAATGGTTCTTCTGTATTTGTGAAAATATGTTGTAGCTAATAGTACAAATGCGTGCCTGTAGTACTTCGTTTTACCAAAACATTTCAAATCATTGCTTCTTAGCACCCAATTTCTCAACTCTTTCCCGAATAACACCTTACCTAATAAATCAAACAAGAAAATTTAGATACATACATACGGAAAAAAAATTGTTACCAAAGCGGGGTTAAGGTTACTTGGTAAAAACCCATAAATATTTTAACTCAAATGTGCATTTCTAATTTTCAAGTTTTCTAGCAAACAAAAAAGCTGAAACAAAGTCGACGTTTTCAAGACACGTGAAATATGGCTGTCACGTCATTAAGAAATGGCTGTCACATAATGAGATAAATAATCATAGCCAATGTACTAATTAATCTAATGATAATCTTGTCTAATGTCTACTCTCGTCAACTTATGATATGATCCAAGACGGCGACACCGAGGTTCCGGACGACTCAAGCGCAAAGGAGCTACCACAAGGACCGGTCACGAGAGCCAAAGTAAAGGAGCTCACGCAAACCATTCAAAGTATGCTCAAGGAAGCGCAAGACGGAGGACCGGCCGAGACAAACCGGATCGTGATGCTTATGCAACCNAAGGAAG